TAAGGGTGATTAAATAAATCCATTCACCTCCATGGATATCTCATGGGTACAGTAAAAATTAACTTTGTGGGCTTAAAGTACACAAACTGCACTTTCCAAAGAAAGGAATGGCCCTTAATTAGCTCCTGTGAGATAAGCTGGGAGCCCTTAAAATATCCTCCTTTTAAAACCTTTTCAGAGCTATACCAGATAGTTTATGCTAACAATGTGACTTACAGTAAACTGTTTTGTTTGCCAGGGGCCCGGGGCACAATTAATGTGTCAATCTGACCTCTGGAGGGGCTTGAAACTGAGTAGCTCAAGTAAACTGCATAGTTGCCCTGTGCCAATGTTTCTGACCCTCACTAAAAACCCTGGATACCAGAAGTCAGGTGACCTTCACATATGTTTTTACTAATTGCTGCTAGGAGAATTAAGCATTGACTGTGTGACTCAACCAGAAGCTCACATCTAGTTTTTCATGCTATTCACACTATGTGACTTTCCTCCTCGCTGATTAAACTACCATTTTTCCTAATTCTGTAGTCCTGGAACATCATCAATTTGAGGTTGTTTTGCAGAACTTTGACAAACCATGGCTTTAGTGTAAGTTAGTCAAAACCTTACAGCTTTGGGTTTGTCCTTGTATTATCTCTTCTCAACAACTACAAAGGTGCATTGTCTGATTTTTAAAAAATAGTCTTTACCATAACCTACCATAGTTTTAGTCCTATTCATAGTTTATATTTACATGATCAATTATAAACAAGAGATAGAAGCTATGTCTCTTTCATGCTAGTATCTCCACTAGTTACACGAACAATATTGGTATAATGTAGGCACTTAATAAATATCTGATGTTTGGCTTATATGTAACTTCTAGAAATTCCTAAGAAACAGATATGAAAGCAGATAAAATTCTATTATAATGATCTATATATATTATAAAGTAGTTTATGATAATTCTAAGTATCTCTAAGAGTAGCCAGTAGGTTAAAGTATGGTAAGCTATATGTTATCAATATCTGCAGTATTTGACATTGATTCATATTAAATGTTGATGAAAAAATATTTTTTGATGAATTAGTGAGACCAGCAGGTTTTTTATTTTATTTTATTTTATTTTATTTTATTTTATTTTATTTATTTTTTGACAATCAGGTTTTAAAAGTGATTGGAAGTTGTATACTGTCATTATAAAGAACATAGGATCCATCATCCAAAATTCAGGTTATTAACTTTACCTTTAGTTGTTACTGCGTAACTTTTTACTATATTACTTAACTGATTTATTTCCTCATCAGTAAAATGGGAAAGCAACAGTGACCTACCTCAAAGTTGCTATATGTACCAAATGAAATAAAACATAAAGGACTTTCAGTGGCATATAATAAACACCTAATGACATCAAGTAAAAACCGTCTATTAATTAATGAACTTATAAAGAATAATTAAGGTCCCTTGTTTATTATTTTTTTTAAATTTCCTTTGTGCTTCTCCTCTTTCTTACAGTAAAATTTGACATTCTTAAGTCTATAGTTCCATGTAATGTTACCTCATTTCAGGACCCAATCTTCAGATTTCAGTTCTTCCTCATTAATGATATTTGTCACAAAGATTCTCAAAAAGCAAAGGAAGATATATATTCTTGTCCTCTACATAGATCTGCACACATAAAACTAGCTCAAAGACTTGATCTAATAAGTCACAACTTGAGCATAATAATAAAAGGCTCAGTCTTGTTCCTATGTCCAACACAGGAGTTACGTGCATATTTATTTGTTTCTGTTAATCTGTCCTTTCAAATATAATGTGAATAATGATGTGTGTATGATACTTGGATCACCCAGATCATTCCTATGTTCTATGAAAAAAAAAAAACACAATCTCTAAAAGATATGAAATTCTGAATAGCAGTCTTAATTCATACTTTGTTCCCTGATAATTGAAATTCCAAAAGTTTTGAATTCTTAGATGTGTCAAATCACATGGTGACCACTGCCACTATCTAATAACTACATGCCTAGAAGTATGATAAAACTGTAACTTTGTCTCTTCTATGTGGCAAATTAATGTGCCAAACTGCCTTTTGGCAGAAACAAAAAAAAAAAAACCAAAACATACCTAGATGCAAATAACTCATAAAACAGCAAAATGAATTCAACAATATACTAAAAAGATTATATACCATGATCAAGTGAGATTCCAGGGATGCTAGAATGCTTCCATATCTACAAATTAATCAACTGACACACAATGAAGGATTAACAAAAGGAAGAGTAAGAGGATTAAAAATTAAGGATCATCTCGGGATCCCTGGGTGGCGCAGCGGTTTAGCGCCTGCCTTTGGCCCAGGGCGCGATCCTGGAGACCCGGTATCGAATCCCACATTGGGCTCCCGGTGCATGGAGCCTGCTTCTCCCTCTGCCTGTGTCTCTGCCTCTCTCTCTCTCATTCTATGTGACTATCATAAATAAATAAAAAATAAAAAAAAAAATTAAGTATCATCTCAATAGATGCAGAAAAAGCATTTGACAAAATTCAACATTCATTTGTTAAACAAAGCGGGTACTGAGGGAACACACTTCAACATAATAAATATCATATATGACAAACACATAGCTAAGATCATCATACTTAATGGTGTGAAAGCTTTTCCTTCAAGATCAGGAACAAGATATGATGCCCACACTTGCCACTTTTATTCAGTATTAGAAGACCTAACCAGAGCAATTAGTTACCCAAATCAGAAAGGAAGATGTCAAACTGTCACTATTTGCAGATAACATGAGACTATATATAGAAAACTCTATAAAGACTACACCAAAACAAACAGAAACCACAACCCTCTTAGGTTCAGTTAAGGTGCAGGATACAAAATCAATGGACATAACTGGTTTCATTTCTATATGCTAATAATGAATGATCAGAAAGGTATTTTTAAAACCCTATTTATAATTGCATCAAAAATAATAAGGGGATCCCTGGGTGGCGCAGCGGTTTGGCGCCTGCCTTTGGCCCAGGGCGCGATCCTGGGGACCCGGGATCGAGTCCCACGTCAGGCTCCCAGTGCATGGAGCCTGCTTCTCCCTCTGCCTGTGTCTCTGCCTCTCTCTCTCTCTCTCTCTGTGTGACTATCATGAATTAAAAAAAAATAATAATAATAATAATAAAATACCTAGGGATAAATTTAATCAAACTGATGAAGGAACTGTACACTGAAAACTATAAGACACTGGTGAAAAGAAATTGAGGGAGACACAGATAAATGGAAAGGTAATCCATAGTCATGGATTGGAAGAATTAATACTGTTAAAAAATCTAGACTACCATAAAACATATTCAGTATATCCCTATCAAAATTCTAATGACATTTTTCACAGAAATACAACAAACAATTCTAAAAATGTACAGAATCACAAATGACCCTAAAGAGCCAAAGGAATCTTGAGAAACAAAGTTACAGTAATATGATAAACAATATATTAACATAAAATATATTAGTCAATGGACTAGAACAAAGAGCCCAGAAAGGAACTCACATACATATGGTCAATTAATTTATGACAAAGGAGCCAAGAATATACACTGGGACAATGACAGTCTCTTCAAGACATGGTGTTGGGAAAACTGAACCACCACATGCAAAGGAATGAAATTGGAATATATTTTATAGTATATACAAAAATCAACTCAAAGTGGATTAAGGAGTTGAATATATGACTTGAAATCATAAAGTTCCTAAAAGAAAACAGAGGGCAAGCTCCTTGACCTTGGACTGGGCAATGATTTTTTGGATCTGACACCAAAAGCAAAGCAACAAAAAGAAAAATAAGTGGGGGGCAGCCCCGTTGGCGCAGTGGTTTGGTGCTGCCTGCAGCCCAGGGAGTGATCCTGGAGACCCTGGATTGAGTCCCACGTCAGGCTCCCTGCATGGAGCCTGCTTCTCCCTCTGCCTGTGTCTCTGCCTCTCTCTCTCTCTCTGTGTCTCTATGAATAAATAAATAAATAAATATTAAAAAAAAAAAGAAAAGAAAAGAAAAATAAGTGGGACTACAGCAAATTTAAATGCCTCTGCACAGCAAAGGAAACCATCAACAAAATGAAAAGGTAACCTACTGAATGGGAAAAAATATTTGCAAATCATAGATTTGATAAGGGGTTAATATCCAAAATATATAAAGAAGTCTTACAACTTGAGGTGCATGGGTGGCTCAGTTGATCTTATAAGTGTCTGCCTTCAGCTCAGGTCATGATCCTAGGGTACAGGGATCAAGCCCCAAGTTGGGCACCCTGCTCAGTGGGAGTCTGCTTCTCCCTCTCCTTCTACCACCCCTACCCCGGCTCATTCTTTCTCAAATAAATAAGTAAAATATTTAAAAGAAACAGAACAGAATTGCTACAACTCAATAGCCAAAAACCAATCTTAATAAAAATGGGTAGTCTGAGATGACTGGGTGGCTTAGTGGTTGAACATCTGTCTTTGGCTCAGGGCATGATCCTGGGGTCCTAGGATCGAGCCTTGCAGGGAGCCTGCTTCTCCTGCCTATGTCTCTGCCTCTCTGTGTGTGTGTCTCATGAATAAATAAAATCTTAAAAAAAAAATGGGTAGAGTCTGAATAAACATTTTCCAAAGAAGACATGCAGATTGCCAATAGGTAAACGAAAAGTTGCTCAACACCACTAATCATCAGAGAAATGCAAATCAAAACCATAATGACATATCACTTCACACCTCTTTAGAATGGCTACTATCCAAAAGACAAGAAATAACAAGCATTGAGAAGGATGAAGAGAAAAGGAAATCTTTCCTTTTGCACTGCCGGTAGAAATGTAAATTGGGTGTAGCCAGTATGGAAAATAGTGTGGAGGTTCCATAGAACATATCAGTTTTATCTCCAAAACAAAATAAAACCACATACTCAGAGAGAAAAAGTTTAGAAGAAGGTACATGAAATTATCAAAAGTGGCTACTTCTGGATGGCAGAACTATGGCTAATTATTATGTTTGTTCTTTACAGGTTCCTTAAATACTGAATATTTTGCAACAAACATGCATTAATTCATCATCAAAAATATATAAGGTAGCTATTTCCACTTAACAGATTCAATAGTTGGGAGACACCTGGGTGGCTCAGCGGTTTAGCGCCTGCATTTGGCCCAGGGTGTGATCCTGGAATCCCAGGATCAAGTCCCACATCGGGCTCCCTGCATGGAGTCTGCTTCTCCCTCTGCCTATGTCTCTGCCTCTCTCTCTCTGTGTCTTTCATGAATAAATCTTAAAAAAAAAAAAAAAAAAGATTTAATAGTTGGAGGCTAGTTTCCTTCTGTTAAGAACCCTGTGAGCAAAAATATCTCTAAAATGAATGGGATCATCAAAGATATCTGTAATTGAAATTACTTCTGTAAACTTGTGAACATCCTTTGCTGTATCTCAACAGTGTAATAGGGCACATTCGTTATTCACATATCTGAATTAACAAAATTCAGGGAGGTGGCATTTTCAGACTCTTAGATGAACTTTAATCAGTCAACATGGAACTTCCTGCCAATACTAGGAAATTTACTAATAAACCCCTTCTGCTGCACTCTTTAGAACACAACCTTACATAAGCAATACATTCCTCGCATGGATTCATGAATTGTTCAACAAAACCAGTGAAATCTTCAAGTTTATTTATTTGAATTTCGTTTTTTTAACAGATTTGGTGGCAGCAGTAGAATTCAAAGAGAACTACTGGCATTTGGGGAAAATGAACAAAGTGTGGCAGCCCTTGAACACTTCTAAGTTCACTGTCTTGCCATTTCCAAGGCCGATTGGTAAGCCCTCTCTTGGTTTGAGCTCTGCTCTTTTTGCATTTGAGCTACCAATCTAATTGGCATTAAAGTCCAGGTTGAACGTCAGCTGGACTGACAGGAGGCTCTAACAGCACTATTCCTTAGCCCTTGGTTCAATCCTCAATTCCATGTTGGATCCCTTCCTCATTTCCAGTCCATAGTCCCCATTCACTACCTTTCTCCATTTCTAATACACAGTCTCCATTAAAGGAGTCTGCTAGTTTAGTCCACACTGGAAACTGCTGGTGGTACACATAGCTTTCTCTTCGCCAGCTCACAGTGACATCTTTTGGCTACTGCTGATATGTTAAGGTGCGGACTTGTTTGTTATGTTCATGTAAGTAAAGGCTTAGCTAACGGGATCTTTAAATTCCAAAGAGTTAAGCATTCCACCTTCTGGCACATTTAATTTATATCTAAGATCTATGGTCCTAGAAGGTATAAAAACCTACCTGCCAGTTTTGTGTCCTAAAGAACTTGGCTTGGTAACCATCAGTTGGGAACCCAAGAATAAGGCTGGACAAACACGTCCATTTGCACCTATGGCTGGGCAGACACGTGGGTCAATTCCATTTGTGGCTAGGGTCCTGTTGAACTGCTGCCAACCCTTATGGGAAATACAATGGCCATGATGGGAACAATGCAATTGTGTAAGATCATTTAAGTGCACCTGAATGCAAGGCTTTCCAAATTAAACAGAATTGGCAAGGAGAAGCCTCTAAAAGGTTTAAAAATACCAAAATAGTGTTATTAAAAGATTCCCTGCAAAAGGCTGCAGGAAAATTAAGTATGTAAGAGGTACCTACAACAAAAGACTGTAAGACTGACATAACTCCTACTGCTCCCCTCTATCCTCCTTTGAGTACTCATTCTCCCAATCCTCTGAAATGTTTATCCACTCTGAAGAATAATAACTGTAAACAAAAGTCTGCCAAGTTAACAGCCTTACAGACACCCCATCTCTATCTTCAAAGGACCCTTCCCAGAGTTGACAAAACTGAAGGATTTTCTGGTAAACATCTACATTTTTCTTTAAATGGCCAAGGTAGGTATCTGGTAGGTATCAGAACATGCAGAGTGGATCCTAGAAAAAGCAGAAGCCAGTAAAGGAGGAAAATTCTTATCAGAAACAGTTCTGAATCTCTGCAATGTCCAGAAAATTTCACATGGTGTCTCCCTTTCCAAACCCAAATCCATTGTGTTGATCCCTTGTCTTCCAGGGATAGCTACTGCCTTCTTGTTTACCTAACTGTGGGACTGGCCTGGCTTTCTACCTACCTGGGATGCGCAGGTTGTTGGTTCTTAGTACTGGCTATCTTTGGGAGCAGCCCTGGATTTTGGGAAGGTAATATCCTTTGCATGCTCTTTGGGGACCCTTTTTAGACCCAAGCAGGTTATTCAGTACTGCCAGAAATATTTAAAATTAGAAGTATTTACCCATAAGGAAAGAAGAAAATTGAGAATAATATATTTGAATAGGTGGATCAACTGATGTCAATTTAAGTTACAGCCCAATTCTTTGAGGAATTGAGAACTATCCTTACAAATCTTTTTGCACAACAGAAGTCAGCTTTAAAGGCCATTCAAAATTCACCCAATCCTTTACCAATTCCAAAACTTCCCTTGTTTATCTCAAAAGGCTAATAAAGGCTATTGGCCTTAGGAAACCAAAGTCCTTCTTTGAAGCACTTTTATTCTTTCTTTGTCCCTAGAAGTTAAACCTCTTATTATGTCTTTGAAATGTAAGCCTGAGATTGAAGGAAAGAAAAAGGAAAGAGGCCTTTTAAAAATACAAACTGCTAAAAGGGCTCTTTTACCCAAACTCCAGCACAATCTCTTTAAGGTTTAATTCCAGGGATGAAAACCAATCTTAAAAATCTTCTTCACAGGGGCAGCCCAGGTGGCTCAGCGGTTTAGCGCCACCTTCAGCCCAGGTTGTGATCCTGGAGACCAGGGAGAGAGTCCCCCCCCTGCATGGAGCCTGCTTCTCCCTCTGCCTGTCTCTGCCTTTCTCTCTCTCGCTCTGTGTCTCTCATGAATAAATAAATAAAAAATCTTAAAAAAGAAAATCTTCTCCATAAATATTAATAACTATAAGGTCTTCACATCTGTGTGTTTATGTCTTATGTCCATATACAGTTGTAAATGTATATGGATATATAGGAGATATTCTATCTCCAGATAATATCACTAAAATTAATTTGTAAAAGCCCTATTCAATTGAAGCACTTGAAAGTATGTGCCATTCTGTAACTCTCAGAAAGACAGAAACTAACCCAAATGTTTTTCAAGTTTATGTTATCCGGGGAAATATTCCATATGCAAGCTACTTTAAGGTTGATGTCTAATTAAAACAGGCATGCCTTTAGAGTTAGGATTAAATATACAACTTTTGTTTACTAGTTTACTAGCCAAGTAAGTTCATATTATCTCTTACAAAATCTGTCAACAAAAAAGTAATAGCTTGGGGAAGACTTCCAGGGAAAATGGAGAAGTAGGAGGATCCTAATCTCACCTCATCCCATTGATACTAGATAACACATCAGTGCAAATAACCCATAAAACAACCTTAAGATTGGCAAAACAAACTCCACAGCTTAACCTAGAGAAGAGGTCACACTGAAGAGGGCAGGAAGGGCAGAGAACAGTGGGAAGCTAACCCCTGCAGGATGGATGCTGTAGGGAGGGAACAGACTATCAAACTGGGGAGCCTGCACAAGGAAGATGAATCCCCACAACATTTGGCTTTGAAAATCAGAGGGGGCAAATTTTATGAGTTCTTAAAATCAGTAGTACTTAAAGTCTTGAACTTTAAAACTCAGCAAACTCAGGTTTGGCAGAGGCCAGAGGGTGACATGAAGCTAAGTCCCTGCCCTTAAAGAGTCAGCGCAACAGACAGCCCACTAAGATGCAGCATTTTGAGAAATACCTGGGCAAAACATGAGGGAGAGTAAGTAACTAATCTGAGTACACTGAGGAACTTTTCCAGGAACATGAGCTGGCAGATGCCATTTCCCTCCGCTGGCCCCAGTATTGTGGGAACCTGGGAATTGTAGGCATTCACTACCTAATTTGTTTACATGACATCCTGCCCCCTCCAGCTGGGCCTGTCTCAGTCCCTGTACTGTGGGTCCCCTCCCCAAGAAGAATGGTGCAGACCTTGCCCATACTGCCTATCCTGATCTCCTGTGGAGGATGTGGGCATCTTGGTACAACTGTACCCCTGACCTGAGTGACTTTGCAGAGTGGTCCGGTTGCCCTGGTCTCTACCGTGGCTATGAGTCCAACTGTGGAAGGGAACCAGCCCCACTTTATTAAAAGTGCATGCTTCACCCACTACTTTCAAGAGCAAGCAACACAGCTGACTTTCATAAAGAGACACAGAGAGTTAGGCAAAATGAGCAGACAGAAGAATAGGTCCCAAATGAAAGAACAACAACAAAAAAATTATAGCAATAAATCTAAGCAATAATAGATTAGCAATAAATCTAATCTAAATGGAGATAAGTAATATGCCTGACAGAATTTAACGTAATGATCATAAAAACTCATTGGACTTGAGAAGAATGCAGAACGTCAGTGAGACTCTGAATACAGAGATAAAAAAAGAACCAAACAGAGATGAAAAACCCAATAATTGAAATTAAAAGTACACTTGATGGAATAAATAGTAGGCTAGAGGAAGCAGAGAAACAAATTAATGACCTGGAAGACAGAGTAATGGAAAGAAATCAAGCTAAGCAAGAGAGGAAAAAATTATGCAAAATGAGAACAGACAAAGGGAATTCAGCAACTCCACCAAGCGTAATAATATCTGCATTATAGGAATCTGAGAAAAGAAAAGGGGGCAGAAGATTTATTGAAGAAACAAAAGCTGAAAACTTCCCTAACCTCAAAACAGAAATCCAGACCCAGGAAGCACAGAGATCCCCCAACAAAATCACCACAAGTAGAGTCACACCAAGACACAAAGTAATTAAAATGGCAACAAATAGTGATAAATAAAAAATTTTAGAAGCAGCAAGAGAAAAGACAGTTATATACAAAGAAAACCCCATAAGGCTATCAGATTTTTCAGCAGAAACAACGCAGGCCAGAAGGGAGTAGCAAGATGATATTCAACATGCTAAAAGAGAAAAATCTGCAGCCATGAATACTCTACATAGCAAGGCTATCATTCAAAACTAACGAAGAGATAAGGAATTTCTCAAAAACAAAAGGAGTTCATGACCGCTAAACCAGCCTTGCAAGAAATATTAAAGAAAATGTCTGAGTGGAGAGGAAAGACTATAAGTGAGAATAGGAAAATCAGGAAGCAGAAAAGCAATAAAAATGTATCTATAAAAATCAGTCAAGGGATTCATAAAATAAAAGAATGTAAAACATTATATATATAATGTGGGGAATAATGAAAGAGGAGTAAACAATGAATTCAAGCCTAAGTGATCATCTACTTTATGTAGACTGCTCTCTGCAAATGTTATATATAAACCAAATGATAACCACAAATCAAAAACCAGTAACAAATACACCAGGAATAAAGAGAAAGGAATCCAAGTATATCACTAAAGCCAGCAAAGCACAAAAGAGAGTTAGAGAAGGATCAAGAAAAACTACAAAAACAACCACAAAACAAGTAACAAAATAACAATAAATAAATACATACCTATCAGTAATTACTTTGAATGTAAATGGAGTAAATACTCCAATCAAAAGACAGGGTGATGGAATGGATAAAAAAAACAAGACCCATCTATATGCTGCCTACAAGAGACTCATTTCAAACCTAAAATCACCTGCAGATTGAAAGTGAGGGGATGGAGAAATATTTATCATGCAAATGGATGTCAACAAAAAGCTGAGGTACAAATACTTGTATCAGAGAAAACAGACTTTAAAACAAAGACTGTAGCAAGAGACAAAGAAAGACACCATATAATAATAAAGGGAACCATCCAACAAGAGGATATAACAATTGTAAATATTTACGCACCCAACATATGCGCACCCAAATTCCCTGAAAAGTTAAAGACAAACATAAAGGAACTTGGACTTACACACTAGATACTGGATGGTTTTAACAAATGTATTCAGAACATTCCATTCAAGTGGCCATTGAACATTCTCCAAAGAAGATCACATATTAGGACACAAAACATGTCTCAACAAATTCAAGACCCCAGAATCATAACCTTGAAACAAAGGTGGGCACTTAACCAAATGAGCCACCCAGGCACCCCTAGGTTAAGAAGTTCTATCCTAGGACATTAGTAAATCTGATGGGTTTTTTTGTATATTTTTTTTTATTGGAGTTCAATTTGCCAACATATAGTATAACACCCAGTGAGCAAATCTGATTTTCAAAGATTCCTTTTAAATGCTCATGAAAATTAATTTTATATTTTCATTGTTTTTGATTCATAGAAAATTTATGGTGAATACTTAGAATCTTCATATAACAACAGTTTTGTTACTTGAGGACTTGTGGGTTTTTTTTTTTTAAGATTTTATTTATTTATTCATGAGAGACACACAGAGAGAGGCAGAAACCTAGGCAGAAGGAGAAGCAGGCTCCCCCACCATGGGGAGCCCAATGCAGGACTCGATCCCAGAACCCTGGGATTAACACTTGAGCTGAAGGCAGACACTCAACCACTGAGCACCCAGGTTCCCCTTTTTCTTGAGGTCTTGTTAAGTGCAAGGGTGTTATTAAGTGCTCTAGAGTTGCACCCAGATTAATGTATCCAATCCTTATACAAACTGTAGGCATTAATATGATCACTATCTACATTTTACAACATAAAATTGTAGAACAAAGATTAATAACTATTTACATCCTTGAAATGTGACCAGAGTGAACGAGGAACTGAAATTATTTTAACTTCTAATTTAAATAAAAAAGCAATATAAAATGTTTTTCAATTAAACACAACTTTAGGGCAGCCCAGGTGGCTCAGCAGTTTGGCGCTGCCTTTGGCCCAGGGCGTGATCCTGGAGACCTGGGATCGAGTCCCACGTCAGGCTCCCTGCATGGAGCGTTTCTCCCTCTGCCTGTCTCTGTGTCTCTCGTGAATAAAATAAATAAAAATCTTTTTAAAATAAACAAACAAACACACAACTTTAGGGATGCCTGAGTGGCTCAGCAGTTGAGCCCCTGCCTGGAGACCCTGGATGGATTTCCGCATCGGGCTCCCTGCATGGAGCCTGCTTCTCTTTCGGCCTATGTCTCTGCCTCTCTCTTTGTGTCTCTCATGAATGAATAAATAAAATCTCAAAAACAAAAAACATTATTGTTTGGGTATATTTCACCATAACCACTGAAATTTAGCATCCAAACTGAGAAGTGCTGTAACAGTAAAATATGCATCAAATTTTGAAAACTTAGTATGAAGATAGGAATGTAAAATATTTCAACTTATTTATATTATTAGATGTTGAAATGATATTTTAGATGTACTGGTTAAGATAAATTGTATTTATCCAACTGAATTTCAACTGTTTAACTTTCTAAAATGTATGCAGGGATCCCTGGGTGGCGCAGTGGTTTGGAGCCTGCCTTTGGCCCAGGGCGCAATCCTGGAGACCCGGGATCGAATTCCACGTCGGACTCCCAGTGCATGGAGCCTGCTTCTCCCTCTGACTGTGTCTCTGCCTCTCTCTCTCTCTCTCTCTCTCTCTGTGTATAAAAAAATAAAATAAAATAAAATGTATGCAAAAGAAATTTTTAAATTACACAAGTGGCTCGCATTGTATTTCCATCAGAGGGTACTGCTTTAGACTCAAATACCATATCATGCTGCCTCTCATGGTCTGTACCACTGTGTGGTCTGAAAGAGTCACACTGCCAGATCTCAAGACAGTTATCACTGCTCAAATCTCCTCATGGACTCTCAGGAAAAACAACCTGCCCTTGTTCACACAGACCTCTCTTCACAAAACTCCAACCATATTCCTACTTCTAAAATGTCTTACTGACTGAAATAAATGGAACCATTTCCTGCCTTGCTTTGATTGAAAATCAAGTCTTTGAATAAAAAATCAAAGGTATCTGGTGTTTTAGTCTACTTAACCACAAGTCTCTTCCTTGACAAAACACATTCTAACATAAATCCTTAGTTTATTCTTGAAGAATTCAAATAGCTCTATTTCTGTACCAGACTTTGGAAAGAAAAGAGAACATGGGGAAGCTGAATAATTACCAATAAGTATGTGAATATTAATTGGGAAAAAAAAGGGTATTTGGAAAGGCACTGGAAGAGAAGGGGACCCATCCCTATGGTCTTGTTATTAATTGGGAAGGGTGACCTGGGACCAGGTCACAATTAGGTCATAGGATTTAGAAAGAAAGCAAATATTTTATGTTCTGTAAAACATATGACAATAAAAAGTAAATAGGAACTGACCTTGAATGGGCTTTTAAGTAGCAACGCTCTCCTCCACTTCAGGGGGCTTCTCTTGCAGAACTACAGGACCAAGAAGAGACTCTTGAGACTCTGGACGAGCTAAATAAGACCACACTGTCCACCATCAGGCATAATGCATTACCCATCACAAATACATTCTGATGGAAGAGTTAACTAGAAAACTGTTGACTTTTACCAGTATCAGAGAAAAAGGTCAGCATCACCTATAACCAGTGCTGGAATCTAAGTTCAAAACAGTTTCTAGGGAGCACAGCTGTGGTTCTGAAATATGTAAATGCCCTCCAAAGTGTATCCAGAAGAGGTTTACCCAGGAAGGAATCCTTCACTGTGTGTCCTACCTCTCGTCTTCCCAGAAGTCTGTCTTGAAGTGAAGTGTAAACCTAAATTCTCATTCCATGAGTTACTTAGGATGTACTTTCCTACTTGCAACTTTCAGGTGAAATCAAGGACTTCTCCTCTAACGTCTATTTCTCTATAGTTGGATCAAACTGGCCCTAGGCTGTAAGAACAGAGCAGAATCCAGGGAAACACGTTCCATGCAACCTACAGTGGGCCCTGGGTGGGCAACGCCCACTTTACCAATGTCCCTTCTATGTTAAATACCAGTCTGGGTACTGGGGACAAGACGATATATATATTTAAATGTAAAAAAATTTTTTCACTCACTCATAAGCCTATTGAAAAAAAAAACCAACTTCAAACTCCTATGTGTTTACTGGGGAAAACAAAAACTCTCCACCCATTTCATTCAAACTTAAAATCGGTACAGCCGAGCTGTCACAGGATCACTCGGTCACAGCATTGGATACCCACATCACCGTGTACTGTGTACTGATAGTCCTGCTAGTCCAATCGTACACCAGTCTGGGCACTCCAGGGCCCGTCACACACACACACCACACACACACACACACACACACACACTAACACGCCACAATGAACTCGTCGCAGACAATAGCACCGGAAACCACCTTGGTCCGGGTTCACGCAAACCCTGGGACGAGCCTTCTGGCTCCACCTCGCGCCCCCTGAGCTTAGGGCCTCCACACCGCGAGCCTCCCCCGCAACCCGACCTGGGTCGCCTCAACTCACCAAGCATAACCCAATAACCACGATGCCGGAAGGGGAACCCAAAGTCAAAGTTCATTCGTGGCCCTGGGAGCTGTGGGAAACGTAGCCCAACACTGAAAATGTTCAGGTCGTCGAGGGCAGCCCGTGGGGCAACGGACGGAGACTCCTGGCAGTCCCAGGGTGCGCGGATCGCTCCTCCTCGGCGGCGGGGGCTAGCAGCTGGCGCTTCGTCAGCAGCCGAAGGGCCGGGTGATGGTTTCTTGGAAGCGAGGAGTCTCGGGCGGACCTAGAGCCCAAGCCGAGGAAGTGATCGCAAACCTGGGCGGGAGAAAGGGAAACGAGGAAGCGGAAGCCTGCTGGGGGCGGGGCGGAAGACGGAAGCAGCTTGTGTCCGGGAGGACCGGGGGAGAACCGGAATCCCAGACCCAGGAGCGTTGAGGAGAAAAGAGGGAATCAGGAACCTGGTCGAGGAAGACCTGGGAGGGAATCGGGAATTCCCTGCTGAGGGAGGTCGAGCCAAGAAAGGCTGAAGAGGAGACCGTAGTTTGGGCGGAAATGGCCGCAGCGAGACCTGGGAGCCGGTGCCCGTCGAGTCTTCTCTTCACTCAGGCCTGTATGGGCGGGACCCCAGATCGGTGGTCGTGAACCAGAGGGTGAGGAGTTTTCAGTTTTGCCCCTTGAAAAAGCCCCGGCACCCAGAACGGCATCTGGCACGCAGCAGATTCTCATTCTGTGTACGTCTGTCTGGTATCCTTTTCCAGTCAGTCTCACGACAGACAACCATAATTCTCAGATACTCGCCTAATTTAGTTTTGTCTGTTCTGCAATTACACATACCTCCTTTTGCACATCCTAGTTTCGTAAGGTTTATTAATGTTGTGTAGTTCATTCTTTTTTATTTATGGACAGCATTCAATTGTGTGAATATGACACAATTTATTTCTTTTTCTCTTGGTGAACATCTGTTGTATTTCCAGATTTTATATATTATAAATAAAGCTGGCATGTTTCCATTTCTCCTGGGGAAATACCTAGAAGAAAAAAATGTTGGGTAACAGGTCAGCTTATATTTAACTTTCTAAGAAGTTGATAAACCTTGCAGTATTAGTTGTTAGTCATGAGTTTGCGGCTCAGTGGGACAATGGAGTAAGTGGTTTTTAAGACTGATTTGGTATTGCATGGAATTATGGGATAGGCTTAGTGGAATTAGCAATGTTATCATGCAATGTCCATGGTATTGTGGCTTTGTGAAGTGGACAAGATACAGAAAACTGAATGTATCTCTGTGAACTCTTATCATGATTTTGTGTATTTATTCATGGTGACTGAAATTAAATCACTATGTAAGTGATATTAATGAATTGAGAAACGCTGTGTCTAGTTATGTGTCATTTTGATTCTGCTGGCAGAATTATGACTGTTTCTAATCAAGAAAATACCAATAGAGATATCCAAAGGAAACGAAAACAGTATCAAAGATATATCTGCACTCCCATACTCACTGCAGCATTTTTTACAATAGCCAAGACATGGAAACAACCTAAGTGTCTATTGATGGATGGATGAACGAACAATATGTGATATATATATCTCCAATGGACTATTACTCAGCCTTTAAAATGAAGTACACCCTACCATTTGTAACAACATGGATGGACATCGAGGGCATATGCTAAGTGAAATAAGTCAGAGAAAGACAAATATTGTATGATCTTCCTTTATATGTGGAATCTAAAAAACCAAACTCCTTGAAATAGAGAATGGTAGTTACCAAGGGGTTGGGAGGGTGGGAGAAATGGAGAATATTGGTCAAAGGATATAAAAGATGCTAAGTTCTAGAGAATCTAGTGTACCGTATGATAACTAAAATTACACACTGTGTATTATGTATTTGAAAGTTGTAAAGAGATTAGATCTTAAATGTTATCACCAGAAAAACATGAAAGATAATTACATGAAAGGATGGAGGTGTTAACTAACCTTATGGTGGTAATCATTTCATTTCATAATATTTATGCTTCAAATCATCACATTGTACACATTAAACTTATGCATGTTATTTTTTTAAAGAATTGGAAAGTAGCAGGTAAAATAACAGATAGGATTACATACTTGGAACACCATATTAATTAATTCTAATGTGTTGAACTCATCAGGAAAAATCTTTTAAAAAGAAATTACCAGGATTCAATCAGCCCACAAGAAAAATACTTTTTATCTCTATGTACTTCTTTTAACAGATTTGAGAGGTTTCCCCCCTTTTCCTAGATGAAATCATGGAAATAATAACTTTTTCAGACACTCTAAGTCAAGGAAGAGTATCTAAAATACTTCTAATCACAGTCTTATTCTCTAATAAAAATATTTACTGTAAAACTCGATTCTTTGGAACTTCATTAAAGGAAAAATTTCTTCCATATGACTGGAGCCCACAAGTGCAGAAAAGTACATTATCTGTTTCTTGAACCTGTATTACTTAATAGCTAATATTTAACATAATGATTCTTAATTAATACTTAATAGTAAATGTTTACTACTTACCTAGGCAGATTTAACCAAGTTATTATGGAAACTCTTACAGTAATTGGGGTTTAACATGGCTTCTTTCAACTCTCCTCTCTCTCCCTTGGTCACTTTTCTAACAAAGAATCCAAAAAAGCAAAAGGTGCTCTCCTGCAAATCTTAAAGCCATGCCTCAGGTGAGATGACATTTCTTATCTCTTTTCTAAAATATTCTTTTTCCCTCTAGCATATATGAGCATTTTCCCATCTTGAAACTCCCTGGAGATATGATTCCTTTTCATGAAACTGGTTATTTTCTTTTATTCTCACCAGATAAATCTGTGCCTTCTCCAGGTTCTTCTAATTTAAAATAATGTTAACTTAATGAATTGGGTATTTCACTTAGCATCTCCTTTCTCATGCCCCAAAACATAAATACACTCTCTTTAATTAAATAACTCTATATTCCTTGAATGAACCTGTCTCGTCTAGAGAGTGACTTGATGTCTAAGTAGTGAGTGCTTAGGAGAACCCATACAAAGGCAAGATTTCATCATGTCCACAGAACTTGGTTGTCTAGTTAAGTAAAGGTAGAGTTAAAATCAGATTACAATATTAGCATATGGCAATAAGGGAGTCCCATATTACAATGTCCTTCCCTTCCTTCTTTTCTCGACTCATCCTTCTAGATCATGTTTCTGCATCTCTCCCTTGTAGTTATATCCAAGGAATGCCTTGTCCTGTTTATATCCCTCCATTCAGTAATAGGCACCAAAGGCATGGAAGTAATCTGTGGCTGAAAAGATCAGATGGGAAAGCCTACTTTCTATACACAAAGCACTGAAGAGAAAGGACAAGAGGAGTGGGTCCATGATCACAAAGTGCCTAGGAATACAGTAGTCCTTAAATCTCAGTAAGAGAATAAGTGGTGTCCTAAGCCTTTTTTGAACATAAATTCAATACTATCCACCCTTTTTCTCTAATAGATTCACTGGAGAGTTTCTAAAGAATGTGCATTAGCAAGAAGTAAATTAAAACAGGAAAGATAGGGCAGCCCGGGTGGCTCAGCGGTTTAGCGCAACCTTCAGTCCAGGGCGTGATCCCAGAGACTCGGGATCGAGTCCCGCGTTGGGCTCCCTGCATGGAGCCTGCTTCTCCCTCAGCCTGTGTCTCTGCCTCTCTTTCTCTCTCTGTGTGTCTCTCATGAATAAATAAATAAAATATTTTTAAAAACCCGGGAAAGATAGAATGAGATAAAAATGGTAAATATGTTGGGAAGTCTAAGCATATACTAAGTAATAATGATTATTTTTAATGGTATTTCAAACCAGATTAAAATCACCAGATAAGAATAGTAGAATGTACTTAAAGCATTCTCTTTTTTAAAGATTTTGTTTATTTGAAAGAGAGCACAAGCACAGTGGGGAAGGGCAGAGGGAGGGAAAGGGAGGGGAGTCTCAAGCAGAGGCCACGCTGAGCACTAAGCCAATGTGGGCCCCATCCCAGGACCACTGAGATCACCGCCTGAACCAAAACCAAGAGTTGAATGCTTAACCAGTCACCCAAAACGTAAAGCATTCTAAGGTGTTTCTTGAGATGCCAACTAATTATAAATCAAAGATACAAGTTAAAAATGTAAGGGTAACCTCTAAAAGTAATAGAATAGTTTTTAATCTAGGAGAGGGAAAAGAATAAAGAAAATCGGATAGATGCAGTAGAATTCAAAGTGTAACAGAAGAAGCAAGTATAACTGATTTAAAAGAGACTAGGGAGGGATCCCTGGATGGCTCAGCGGTTTAGTGCCTGCCTTTGGCCCAGGGCGTGATCCGGGAGACCCGGGATAGAGTCCCATATCAAGCTCCCTGCATGGAGCCTGCTTCTCCCTCTGCCTATGTCTCTGCCTCTCTGTGTGTGTGTTTCTGTCTCTCATGAATAAATAAAATCTTTAAAGAGAGAGAGAGACTAGGGAGATGGGATATGGAGCTAAAAGGAGACTTTAAAAAAAAAATAAAAGGAGACTTGGGCAACAACTCTCGGAAGATGAAGAGTTGTTATGGCCAAAGTGCAGTGTCGTTGCCCTTCTTAGTCTATGTATTTGGGCAAATGAACCCAATGCTGACTGCAGAAGAGAAGAGAATTGGCTAAAGATTCAGGGCTGTCACTTTCCACTCCCTGCCCTCCCATTACTCCCAATTTAGAGGTTTATGGGGGCTAAAGGATGAGTGTGAAGTTTTTATATAATTTGATATAGAAATGGGCTGCCTTGTGACCTGCAGGTAGCCCCAAGCTCATGTAGAGACAATCAGTTGCAGGATAATGTTCATGAGTTCTGGGGTCAAACAGATGTAGATCCAGTCCCTACCTGTACCATTTTTAATTGTATATATCTTTTAATATCACTGTGACTCATTCTCTTCAGATAAAAAAAATTAAGACAGATGTGCTGCTACTCTACCTATCCTCTATAAAGGATATTTACAAAGTATATAAAGGACTTTATAAAGAATAAAAAGTGCCTGTAACGTAGTCATTCAGTAAATTAGTGTTTTTCCATTTGTATGTCACAAAACTAGAGTTAAAAATGTGGGGAACCAGCTGTAGAGCCTATCTGAGAACTAAATCTTGTAGTCCTGGGCACACTGGGGATACGGGAGGTCCTGAGTCAGCACACTGACTCTTGACCACATTTTTCTCCAGACACAGCTCCTCCAATCCCTCACTCCTTGAGTCAATAACTTATTCTTTTACCTTTTGAAATAAACATGTTTTTTCTCTGCTTCCCAAAGTTAATCATTCCTATAGCTAATCTGCTAGCTCTCTTAATAAAAATTGGAGGAGACAAAGCCTTGGGGTCAGAGTCTGGTCTGAGTCCAAGTCTAGAGTCTCGGTCCCCCCGTCCCCAGATTAAAAGTCAGCGAGACTCCGAGTCTTACTTCATATCATTGCCTCCAACTATCCTGGCTCTGTGGCATAAAAATACCTGGAAAATTCTATACCATAAGGAACTATGCACACCAGAGGTTCACTATGCACACTATGAATTCTTGTTAATAGATTAACTACTTTAAATCACATTGACATACTCCCTTTCCTTTATTCTTCAGCAGTGACAACATGAGAGGTTGAGTTTTAGTGGGTTAGGAGGTAATGACAGCCTGGATCCTGACTGAATCCATCATTGAATGTGATGGTTAATGATAACACATAGCTCAGTTGCCAACTGGGTCAGTAACTATGGATCTGTAAGCGACATCTTACAGTTACCTTTGTCTGAGTATTGGTATATGTGGCTTCTTGATTTACGTGCCACATTGTTTGGGTGGCTCAGATGTTCGTCATAAGGCAGAAGAGATAACAGTGAGAAATCAGGCAAAGACAGGATTGTGCGAGATGGAACATGAAAGCTCATCCTTCCGGTAGAACATTATATGCTCTATATTACATTGTATCTTTAAAGAATTATCTTTTGGATTTTCCATTTTCTTATATTTTGGGCTTTTCAATCCTGTTTCATCTTAAAATGCAATCAAGTAAACCTCTTAGCCTAAGGGTGCAGATCTACCTAATGAACAGTAGTAAATCTTAGGAAATATGAAGAAAATATCTTGAGCAGCGGTTTAGCACCGTCTTCAGCCCAGGGCGTGATCCGAGACCCGGGACTGAGTCCCATGTCGGGCTCCCTGCATAGAGCCTGCTTCTCCCTCTGCCTGTGTCTCTGCCTCTCTCTTTCTCTCTCTCTGTCTCTCTCTCTGTCTCATGAATAAATAAACAAAATCTTTAAAAAAGAAAGAAAGAAAAATATCTTCCCTCTCCCTGTGGAACTGCAGAGGAATTAATACCATTTTTGTCATAAAATTTATTTCAAAGAACCTGATATAATAAGATGTTCAATTGAGAATATTTTCTCCTGTCCCGTACCTTCTAAATCTGTAAATCTAATTAGTTATTTCACTATTTGCTACCCTGGTGATAATGTTTAAACTGTCATCTGTGTTTTACTGAAACCCATAAATACTCATAAGATTTTATGTTAAGGGAATTGTTTACTTTCTTTATGCATAAAGGTACAATAAATTCCTGTGACCTCCCTTATCCTTTAGCCAGCAGAGAAATGCAAAGCAAAATAATAATGAGATACTACACACCCACCAGGATGACTATAATAAAAAATAAAGGTAATGAATATTATCAAGGACATGGGGATAGCAAAACTCATACACTGCTGGACAGAATATAAAATGGTTAGTTACTGTGGAAAATAATCTAG